TCCCACCCGCGTCTGTCGCTGTGCCTGGTGGCAGGAGGTGTTTGCATTTCTTTAGCGGTGCCAGCTTCCTGGTTCCTTACGGCCTCCCCTGTTCCCCTGCGCTGAGTTATTCTTAGTGTACATTTGTGCCTGTCGTTCTGCTGTCCTCCGTTTATGCACAGGAGTCACCTTGCGTTTGTATTTCTCTCAGTCCACCTCTTGAGTTCACATCACTAGCAGATCACGTATGTGTCAAAACCAGGCTTAAGTCAGCTTCATCAATTCCTTCACTTTTTCGTCTTCATCACACGATCAGAAAAGGAAAGTACAGTGTCATTTGCTCTCCGTAAATCACCACTGACTGGTTTTTAATCATCTGGATGGTGACGTGCGAGTGCTCGTAGGTGTCTTGCATTGTTCTTTGCTGTGATTTCTTTTGGTGTATTGGAGCTGGGGAGGCAACTCTAATCCCCTGGATCTTCCATCTCGCCTTTTAAACACTGATTTTAAATTGTCCTTGTCCAGTCTTCTCCTACACCATGCAAGAGCTCACAAAGGTAACTGCAAGTGATCCGTGGTTGCCCAGAGAGCTTGTGGAATGTCAATCCTTAGAGCTTGTCCACAGGTTGGGTGCCCATAGCAGCCCATGCTTTGGGCAGGACATTGGATGAGAGACCTCTTGAGGTTCCTTCCCACCTCAGTTACTGTATTTAGCTTCTCTGAACTCTACTTACTTTGTTCCTTCTTAGGCCTCAATAGCAACGGCGAAAAGAAGATTTACGTGTCTTCGTGTCTTAAAATTAGCTGTAGATGTCAGTGCCATGCTGAAGGAGCATGGATGTGTTCCTTCTGAACCATTGGGAAAGTAGTCCCCCAATATCGGCTCGCGACAAGTGTGCAGTTTCATAGGCATCCAGCAGCCAGGCAAGCATCTGATGGTTAGGACAAGCAACATGGGAGAGAGGGAGTTTGCTTCCAGATCCAGTTTTACAAATGCTTTGCAGGTGATTCCCAGATTTCTGAATGCAGGGTTCTACATTTTCCTACTGGAATAAATGTAAGCATTTAACTGCCTGTTTCCCTCTGTTAGTTGAGGTAGATTTTGAGCACTGGAGACAGGAGCTGGTATCTCAACCTTACTCCAGATGCTGAAGCAGCTGCGGGCATAAATAATCAATGGGCTGCAGTGATCATGCACTAGTGCAGCTCACTGTCCTAAGGGGTATAAGGCAGATGAGAAGCTTAGTCAGGACCCTTAAGTTTTAAGAAAGCAAACTTCCAACTCTCCAAGGAGTTAGTAAATAGGACCCCCTGAGAAACAGCCCTCAGGGAGAAGGGAGCAGAACAGAGCTGGCAGATCTTCAAGGATGCTCTCCATGGAGTGCAAGAGATCTCAATTCCCAGGTGTAGGAAATCGGGCAAGGAAGGCAAGAGACCAGCATGCCTGAGTTGAGACCTGCTGCTCAAACTAAAGGGCAGGATGGAACTACACAAGCAGTGGAAGCAGGGACAGGTATCCTAGGAAGAGTATAGGGACATTACCTCGTTGTGTAGAAAGAGGTCAGGAAGGCCAAGGGGCAACTGGAGCTGAACTCGGCAAGAGATGTAAAGAAAAACAAGAAGGGCTTCTACAGGTGTGTAAACCAGAAAATGAAGGTTAAAGAAAGCTACCCCCCGCCCCAATGAGCTACTGTGGTGAACTGGTAGCAGTAGATGAGGAGAAGGCTGAGGTTCTCAACAACTGTTTTGCCTTAGTCTTCACTGGCAACCCTTCTCCTCATGGCTCTCAAGTTGATGGCCCACAGGATAGAGACCAGGGAGACAAAGTCCCTCCCACTGTAAGCAAAGACAAGGTTTGTGACCATCTGAGGAACCTGAACATACACAAGTCTGTGGGACCTGATGAGATGCATCCCAGAGTCCTGAAGGAATTGCCTGATGCAGTTGCCAAGCCACTCTCCATGATATTTGAAAAGCTGTGGCAGTCAGGTGAAGTCCCTGGTGACTGTAAGAAAGGAGACATTGCACCCATTTTTAGAAAGGGTGAAAAGGAGGACCCTGGAAACTACTGACTTGTCAGGCTCACCTCTGTGCCTGGGAAGATCATGGAACAGATCCTCCTGGAAGACATGCTAAGAAGGCACGTGGAGGACAGGGAGGTGATTCAGGACAGCCAGCACGGCTTTACTAGGGGCAAATCCTGCCTGACCAACCTAGTGGCTTTCCTGTTCGCACTCAAGTACTTACCCACCTGATCCTGGAGGGGTTTGTACTGACCATGGGGAGAGTGTAGAGTGTTTCTCAGGTAGCAGCTCCCTGTGAGAGGGCAGACCCAAGGCACTGTCAGGGACACTACACTGTCTGACCTACATCCAAGGTGCAGCCTGGGCAGTGAAAACAGAAGATTTGGTAAAGGTGTTATGCTGTTTGTCATGGTCTCAACAGGGTTGGCTGCTTTCGCGTTAGTGGGGCTCTGCTTCTGCCAACAGTGCTTGATGGTATAAGGCACCTGTTAGTAACAAAAATAGTTTAAAAACATTGCATGAGAAGGGTAAGTAGAAATTCTGAGTACTTTATAACCAGCTTACAGTGTAGCATTAACAACAGCATTTCAGTTTTTTTAGTATTACCAAGCCAGTGCCCTAAATAGAGTCAAAAAGTCTTGTTGGATTTTTGGAGGTGCTGATCTGTGCAAGAATGCAAAGTATCAATTTAATGAAAACAATTTTAGTCCTGACATTATATAAACCAAAAATATCATGGCTTGACTTTCAAATTCCATGCTGAGTTTATAGGGTTGGTAGAAAGCAGATTTGTACTTGTAAACTGTGCAGAGTTGGTAAGAAGTCATTGAGAATATTCGAAGAACAAGAGGAATATTTTGGCTTGCACTTTTCTGGCTAGAAACTTATTTTTATCCAACATTTATTATTATGATCTGTCTATAAAATTAAGCTAACTTCTCTCTATGTCTCCATATGAGTAGACATTATTTTTGTTTCTACTCAAACTATTTTGGTTTATCACATTTCTTCTCCATAGAGAGTAAATGTCACAGTTTATAATCTTGAACTATGATATATTTATAAGCCAAGAAAAACAGGAAATGCTGCTCAAAAAAAGAAAAAAAGAGAAAAACATTACTGGAAGATAATTAGAATTATTAATTAAGTCAAGTACAAGGAGTATTTAGCTCTGGCTTTTTGTAGCAGATATCTCAGGCTAAAGTACATTCCTGCAGAGAAGCTCATTCTAATAAAATTAGCTCTAAGTTCCTTTCCCACCAACTCAATTATAGAGTCCTTCTGACTTCTGATCATGTTCTCCCTGAAGAGGAGCATAAGTGTTCTGCTCACAGTAAAGGGTATTTCAGAGGCACAGCTAAGGTAAGTGTAATTTTCCTGAAATTTGAAATTTTCCTCAAATACTGCTGATTGAAAGTGTTATTAATGAACTGGTTGAAAGGAAGAAATCAGAGAGTTGTTGTCAATGGGACAGAATCTAGTTGGAGATCTGTGACTAGTGGAATCTTGATGAAATTCAGCAAAGGCAAGTGTAGAGTCTTTCACCTGGGGAAGAACAACCCCATGTACCAGTACAGGTTGGGGCTGACCTGCTGGAGAGTGGTGTAGGTGAAAGGGACCTGGGGGTCCTGGTGGACAGGAGGATGACCATGAGCCAGCAATGTGCCCTTGTGGCCAGGAAGGCCAATGGCATCCTGGGGTGTATTAGAAAGGGTGTGGTTAAGGTCAAGGGAGGTTCTCCTCTCCCTCTTTTCTGCCTTGGTGAGGCCGCATCTGGAGTATTGTGTCCAGTTCTGGGCCCCTCAGTTCAAGAAGGACAGGGAACTGCTTGAAAGAGTCCAGTGCAGAGCCACAAAGATGATGAAGGGAGTGGAACATCTCCCTGATGAGGAAAGGCTGAGGGAGCTGGGTCTCTTTAGCTTGGAGGAGACTGAGGGGTGACCTCATCCATGTTTACAAATATGTTAGGGGCAAGAGTCAGGAGGACGGAGTCAGGCTTTTTTCAGTGATGTCCAGTAACAGGACAAGGGATAATGGGTACAAACTGGAACATAGGAGGTTCCATGTAAACATCAGCAAAAACTTCTTTCCTGTGAGAGTGACAGAGCCCTGGAACAGGCTGCCCAGAGAGGTTGTGGAGTCTCCTTTGCTGGAGGTATTCAAAACATGCCTGGACACGTTCCTGTGTGATGTGCTCTGGGTGACCCTGCTCTGGCAGGGGGGGTTGGACTGGATGATCTTCTGAGATCCCTTCCAACCCTTAAGATTCTGTGATTCTGTGACCTTAAAATTACTTCCAATACCTGAAAGGGGCCTATATAAGAAGGCTGAGGAAGACCTGTTCACAAGGGCATGTAACAATAGTACAAGGGGTCATGGATTCAAGCTAGAGAAGGGTAGATTTAGGGTGGACATTAAGAAAAAGTTCTTTAATATGAAGGTGGTGGATCACTGGAACAGGTCACCTAGAGAGGTGGTGGAGACCCCAGACCCCATCCCTGAAGACATTGAACGTCAGGCTCGATGGGGCTCTGAGCAATCCGTTCTAGTGAGAGGATGTCCCTGCTTATTGTAGGGGGGTTGGACTAGGTCATCTTTAGACCCTTCCAACCCAAGGCATTCTACAATTCTATGATAAATCCAGCTAGCAGAAGTCTGTCACTCCATGTTTTTTTACCAGGCTGTTGATTGCAGTGATTTTCTCCTTACTTTGACTGTCATGCCCAACTTTCTTATCACGTATCTAAACCTACTAAGTTAAGTATTTAACTAACGCTCAAGTGAAGTTTGCTCCTGTAAGCCCCTTAGCAGGTAACATCATAGTCTCCTTGCAGCAGGTTTAGAAAATAAACCAAATCTTTTCTGTTGGATATAGGAGTGATGTGGGACCCACCTGTTCCGTGTGAAGGACATGAAAGGCAACATTTCATAAAGGGAAGAAACAAAACATCTGGTAGATGGAAGCCATGAAGATATCAAAGCGGTCCTTTGCTTTTGGGATTTTGGCATGCATAGCTATTTATGTTGCATACATAAAATGGCACTTGGACTCCAAACCAGCCATGGGAGCAACAGAAGGAGTTGCTGAACACAGGGGAGACAAACTGAACCGTCAGGCACCAACTGCAGATCTCTCAGTGTTTTATGGAATTATGTTTGATGCAGGAAGCACGGGAACTCGCATCCATATTTTTAAATTTACACAGCAGCCAAAAGGTATGTCCTACTCATTGCACAATAGATTAGTTCTTCCATAGCCTATGAACCAGATTATTGATGATTTTTTTCTAGGGATTACTTGAACAAATATGCCTCAGCTCTTTCTAGAGAGCCATCAGGAAGCAGATTGTGATTCAAGCATATGGGTTTGGATGAAATTATGAAAACAAGGATAAAAGACTGTGATGTTAAAATGGGAACTAAATACTGTATCTTTAGGTTGGTGCCTTGCAGAAGAGCAGTTTTTCATCACAAGCATTTTGGTTGGGAAAGACCTTTAAGATTATTGAGTCCCACCATAACTACCAACCATTAACCTAGCTCTACCAAGTCCCTGTTCCTTACAGTTAGCTCCTTCTCTCTGCATTGTCTGGTTGAGTGGATCCTAGGCTTCAGTGTTGGATTTAAATTGCTGTATGTTGTATTTGGACAGAAAGTACTGCTGCAAACTGGACAGAGGTTTACAAAAAAGCTTCAGTTTTCCTCTGGAGTCATAAGCTTCATTTGTTTAGGTGTTCTTTTCTGTTAGGTGTTGGTTTCTATATGGGAAAGAAGAAGAGTTGCAAGTGGTGAGACGTTGGAACAGGTTGCCCAGGGAGGTTGTGGTTGCCCTCACCCTGGAAGTGTTCAAGGCCAGGTTGGATGGAGCTCTGAGGAACCTGATCTAGTAGTGGGAGGTGTTCCTGCCCATGCAGGGGGGTGGAACTAGATGGTCTTTGAGGTCCTTTCTAATCCAAACATTCTATGAAAGAGCCCATGTGGATGCTGTTAGTAGGTGATCTGAGGATGTTTTTAAGGATTAGCGGTGTGACTAGCTTGTGGGAAGTACCCTAGGTTTGCAAAATGGGCTTAGCCACCACAGACATTAAACAACAGTCCATAGATTTCCTTCTTTCAGTGTATTCCTGAATCTTTGCTTTTTCCTTGCCTGCTTCTCTTTAAACACAACTTCAAAATATATTGCAGGAAACTTTATGAAGTGAAGTTGGACACAGAAGGAGGATGTTGTCAAGCTCGTGTTGTCTTTCCTGCAGTTATATTGGCAATTATATTGACAGTTGCCTGACAGTATAATTGCCTATGCTGCAGATTTCCATAATACACTAGGTCTGGCTCCCACTGCTGCCATTGAAAATGGTGGTAAAGCTTCCACTGAATTTTGCTGGAGTCAAGTTTAGCCAGAACAGAGCATGCTGAAATGTGGGGGTTTTGTTACCAGTGTAGTTTGGAAAGCTTCATGTCGCAGGTTCGAGGGCTCAGAGAGAACTCCCACCCATCTGGTGTTTGCGTGATGTGCATGACAAATATGTGCATAGTGGACATCAGCACCCTAAAAACAGTCATGACTGAAAAATGTTTTTTGTGAGAGCTATTTCCATAGCAAGGGCAGTATTTAAATGTTGGGTGGCTGTTGATAGTTCATTAGACAGAGACTTCAATTGATTCCCATTAGCATATAATGGTGTAATTTGTAAAATGGTTTTCTTTTTGTGTATGCAAAATTATGTGTACCATTTCTTGTTTTGGAATTTTGCTTTTGAACAGAGACTCCCAAATTAACCCATGAGACATTTAAAGCACTGAAGCCAGGTCTGTCTGCATATGCTGATGATGTTGAAAAGGTAATTTTGTTTCTGTTACTGTAGAAGTATGTGCCCCAAAACCTCCTGTACTTGTTATACCATGCAAATCAGATCTCACTGTGGTACAGTATGCTGAACAGTCTCAGTGTCTGCAAGTGACAGAAGCCCACAGTACAAGTTGGTCACCATACAGGGAAGCAAGGAACAGACACATCTAGTTCCACTCACTGATGTTGCTGATAAAGCACAGTGAATGTTTTTCCTGTGTCTGCCTTAGGAATTTCAATGCACTTGAGGAAATTGCAAAATTGCTGTGCTGAATTGGAGGAGAGCCTTCTCCAACAGTGACTGGAATTGGAATCTCAGGAAAATAGACTAAAAAAACAGGCCAAGTACTAAGTGACTTCTCTGCTATCTCCCTTGCCTTCTGGCTTGCCAGGATTTAGGGACTTCCTGAGTCAGATTTACACCCAGCTCATGATGATTCACTAGCTCCAAGATCCCTTTTTTTCCCCCAAGGATTTGTCATATTGCCACATTATCATTTTACATGTTATCTGTGTCACTGTCCAAAAAAGTGACTCTTCCTGTTTGTTCTTGACCTATTGCTAGATAATCCTCAATATATCTAGCAGGTCTCAAGCTGTAGGAGATGGTGAGTCCTCCACCTTCTCCTGACCCCTTGCGATATTCACTTGTTTCTGGTCCACATTTACAGCAAATCATACCTCTGATCACCCCTTTGCCCTTTCAAGAACATAAAATCTGAACAGTTTCTAAGATGCCTTTTGTTGTTCTTTCTCTGCTCACAGAGTGGCCAGGGAATAAAAGAGCTCCTGGAGGTGGCGAAGAAGGAAGTTCCTATGGAGCTGTGGAAGTTTACTCCTCTGGTCCTGAAAGCCACGGCTGGCCTACGGTTGCTGCCAGGAGAGAAAGCTCAGAAGTTGCTGAATAAGGTACTATTTCTCATCTTTTGATTTGCTTTCCAGACATTTTATAGCAAAATGTGGTCCCTTCTATGTAAAGTATGTACTCTTTTGTCTTCACGTACATGAGCCATTGCTATCATTGAGCCCCAAAAGCAGTGCAGGGCCACCTAATCTCAGATGGGTTTGAGGGCAAAAATGGCATGAGTACAAGCACAGAGAAATTATGACAGCTCCAAAATAAGTCTGGAGATGACACAAACAGAACAAGTGAAATGAGATACTTCTAGCAGTCACGACAGGCTTTATCTTACTGGGCAATTGTTGGTTTTGACCAGGATACTGCTATTTTGAGAAAAGCTCTCTGCTGTTTGATTGGTCATGTAACCAGCCTGTTGCTGCAAGGTTGCTCCTTTGTAGTAATTGGAAATTATGTACGTGGTATTTATAGGCATGTAAAATATGTTTAATATTTTAAAATACTATTAAAATTAACAAAATACATTCTAGACTAGAAAAATTTATTAACTGTGTGCTAAGTGTACTCTTTTTCTAACCAATAACGGGAAGAAAGAAATGTGGCGTGATGGAAAGCAGTGTCTGCATTGTGCTCTGCTGCCTGCAAGCTCCCCCATTCTTTTCCCACTGGATTTCAGATGGAACTGCTGCAGTTATTACTTTGGAGGACTCTGGAAACTTGCTTTGCTGCCTCATGTAGATGTAGTGAAGAGGACCTGTAACAGCCAGTGTGCTCCTATTGAATATGTCATTCCGTGGGTCATTCCTGAAAGCCAGGGTGTCCCATCCCCTGCCTCTCCTGTGGGGCACCGGTTGCAGCAAAGGAAATTGAGTTCCCTTCCCTATCCACATCCATCCCTTGTTAGTGGCATTTCTGAGCAGTTTTTGTGCTTGAAAACCCACACATCCATCCCTGTCTCTGCACCAAGCTGCAGAGCCACTGTGTAAGTCACTGACCTTTTCTAGCAGAGCACAGGCTGGTGCTTGTTGGACTTGAACTTGAAAGAAACTGGTTAGCAGAAGTCAGGATCTGGTCAAAGAAGAGAACCAGTTGTGTAAAACTGGAGTTTTTTTAAAAAAAACTACTTGCTTTCCAGCTGAAAAAAAAGATTTCTCTGAGTGTAGCTTTTATTTGAACTACAGGTGAAGGAGATTTTTCAGGCCTCCCCCTTCTTTGTGAGGGACAACTGCGTGTCCATAATGAATGGAACCGATGAAGGTAGGCTAACTTGTGGAGACTCTTTCTGCAGTCCTGGAGA